GCTACGGAGCATGGCCTCTACCATGCTCCGCAGCGAGAGGGTTCCACCTCCTAGCGCCGCAATCAGGTCGCGGCGCTGCTGCCGCCAGGCCGAGCACTCCATCAAGGTGTGCTCGGCCGTATCGTCCGGGGCGTCGCAGTGATGATACTGCGGCGTTTCCTACCGACGGGCGACACGGTACAGGTAGTAACCGAAGCATCCGTGCCTGGTCAGTACCTGCACCATGCGGAACGAGAGGCCGCCGCGCCGGCGACCCAACTACTCCTCCAACACTGGACGAATGGCCTCAATCGTCCGGTGGCCGGCGCTTACATGGGCGAGTGCCTCATCCCATCGCTGCAAGGCCTCTGCCTGCGCGATGGAACGGACCTGCCGGAGCTCTGCTGGGGCAGGTCTTTCACCCCGCTCCCTGGCTTCGACCCGACCTCGATGCACGTCTGCCAGGACCTGGGCAATTACAGTAAAACCTGGTAATTCGTTGAAATCGTTTTTTTATTAACTATTCGAATAACTCGGGATCTAAGTACGAGTAAATGTGAAAAAAAGTAATTTTAATTAATATTTTGATTTTGTTTTAATTGTTTATAAGCACCAGAAAGTATTCTTTTAACACTTTTTAATCGGCCAATAATAGTATAATGAAATAATTCTCACCCATGAACTCAAAACCATATAATATAATTTAATAGCACTGGCGCCAAGATTAGCACTCTCTTCGATAAAAAATCGCAACAAAACTTTCGCAACACAGATAAAGAAAAAGTTTCTAATCGAAGCAATTATTAGGAAGACGATTAAACCAATCTCAGTGATATCTAACGAATCATATTCTAATAAGTATTTAATTAAGCTATAGCGGTAAGTAACGTTAGACAAATCTTTCATTCGATGAGTAGTGATTGACCCAACTTTGAGACATGACAGAATATAATTATTGATCAGTAATTAATCATAATACTTAATCACTTAACTGTTTAATTGTAATCTTTTCCAGTTATACAACGATATTAAATACCTTAGCTACAACAACACGAACAAAATCGAGGCTGAAACGTGTCCAAAAGGTACATCCAATGTACCTTTTTGACGATGATTTTGGACGGTCCACGGAGCTCCGAAGATGATCGAGTGGTCAAAAACAATATAAGGCATTATTTAAACATTAAAAGTCACCTTTCATGCATACTGTATAAGGTCATAATTAAAACGCATGCGTCAAAACAACGATATTAAATACCTACTTATGACAGATCGAAATGCAAGCTCGTAAAATTTTACGATTTATTGCTATATGCGGAAGAAACTAGACCTTTTTTTTTAAATCTATACTAGCGGTGCTCCGCTGTGTTACCCGCAGTTTATTAGGGATATTTTCCCGCAGTGAAACGTAGCCTATGTTTTGATCCAGGGTGGCAGCTAACTCCTTACCAAAATTTATTAAATCTAGTGGGTGAAGTAGCGGACTATGAATTTGCCCAACTGGCGTTAAAGTTTAAAAAAGTGTCTACTTGAGTTCTAAAATTATAAGTAATTATAGAAGCGCCAGTTATAAATATTTAATTTGAATTAAAAACTAAGATGAAGTTATTCAAAGACATTCAATCATCTAATTAGGTTGATAAATAAATAATAATAAATAAATATTTCCGACACTCACACCAATTAGCCTAGCCCCAAAGTAAGCACTATAAGGCTTGTGTTATGGGATGCTAGGATAAAGGAAAGAAAACATATACTGTACATATATAAGTATATTTATATAAATACATATTAAACATCCATGACTGGAGTACAAATGCTCGTATTCATCACACAAACAACTGCCCCCCAAGGGGTTTCGAACCCGAGACCTCTCGAGTCAGCGACAGCCATGAAACCCGGCGTACAAACCACTCGGCCACGGAGGGCGTCAATATCGTCGTCGTTGATCCATGTGATATCTAAAACTATTCAATAAGTCAAAAAATCAAACGCAATACATCCTTTACCATTTTATTAATAAACCAGGAATAAGCTTAGACTAGTTACGCCGTGTTTAGTTCATATCACTGAAGTTCCATTTGTTATTCAATAGACACGATGACAAACATGGACTACCTAATCTGAGCTTATTTTTTACTAACGGCCCGCTCTCGCTTCGCTTCGGTGTAGAGCTGAAGTGTAGACTACAGTTTTTGTTCTCAGGCTTGTATTATACACAATGACATTCATCTATGATTCTTCTTATACCTACTCGTACATGCAAAGTCTCAGCCCGATTGGTTTAAAATTGACAAAGTTTCATACAAACTTTCATTCCCTATTCTATTTTCACCAAATGTTGATCAGCGTCATCTTGATTACAATTAACTAATTTTGATAAGCCTCATAATTATTTTTTTATAACTGATCAAAATTACTGACGTCTTGCATTAAATACATTGTGTCATTATATTAGACTTGCAACGAGTAGTAATAGTAGTAGGCCCCTGTCCGAATAGCCGAATATTAGGCAAAAGTATTCGGCTGGATTTTAGTGCCAAAAATTTGTACAGACGTGACTGTTTCGCGCTCCTTTGTTTTGTTCTAATCTGCCGTCCTCAAGCTAAAATGTGGCTAAGTGACAAAACCAACTTTTGAGATATGGCCAAAAACGGCGCGTAAACTTTGAATTATTGCTATTATGTAACCATTCATCACATGACTGAATGAATTAGAAACTGTTAACTTGTTTAATACAGAAAATGATTAAATTATGTACCTGTTTTATGTACCAATGACTACTTAATAAATGATTATAAAAAAAATGAGAACCTTACCCTTCTAAATTTTGATTACCAATATAATTCAAATACATAGAATCCTCAATTTTTCCAATTCAGAGATGATTATGTACCTGTGTTATGTACCAATTACTACTTAAATGATTATATAACAGAAATGAAAATATGAATATATACGTAATCAAACGATTTTAATTTTTCATTTTACCAATTATTTCTCTATGCCAAAATTAATTAATAATTATTTAAAATTGAAGTATTCGGTTTTCGGCCGAATATAATAAAAGCAGCCGAATAGGCCGAATACCGAATATTCGTTGCAAGTCTACATTATATAGTAGCTGGTACAAGATGTTTTTGAATCTTAAAAAGGATTTTATATTACTAATATTATAAATGTGATAATTTGTATGTTTGTTACTCAAATTACACAAAAACGGCTTAACAGATTTGAATGAAATTTGGTACTCATATAGCTTATTACCTGAATTAGGCCATAGGATACTTTTTATCCCGAAAAAATATTAGGTTCCTCAGGGATTCTTAAAAAACTAAAGATAACGCGGCAGAATTGCGGACGGCTGCTAGTGTTTAAAAAAAGTAGTGATGAGACGTTACCACGGACCAAACATATGAAGTAAAACTTCTTTTCTTAAATAACCTAACATTAGGCGTTGCATAAGGCATAAGGGAATAGAGTAGCGCACGCATCACTCATATATGTATATGTCTATATGTATGTATATTGTCACGTGTGACGCTCGTGACGCTCGAAGCGTTACAGCCTTCGCGGAGTAACCCCTCAACTTTCATGCTCGTCGGGAATAGCTGCGCACGCTTCCCACACCCACACACACACTCACACACACACATATATATAAATATACACACAGTCGTGTGACGCTCGTGACATATTTCCGTTTCATCTTTTCCATAGGATTTTTCCATTTAAAAACAAGATTTTAATTGCGATTAGGGAGTTGCTGAAATAATCGAATTGGTTATCAATCAATTAAATTTAGTAAGTGTAAACATAAACACATTATGTTAATCTCGGCTAATAAATCATTCATATCAACTCCACTCGTGAAAAAACCCCTTAAGTCTAATTAAATTAGTCAGCGATTGAGCACATACATTTTATTACAATTAACATAACAAGCAAACTATTTTATAACGGCCGTCACGAGAGATCTAATCACGGCGAAACGTGTGAAATGTACCAGATAAACGAATTGTTACTGAAAGAGAATTACAAATGATTTAATTGCATGCAAAATTGTAATTAGTACGATTTTGTAAATTTTTAGAAATGAACATGAGATTCGTGGCACTTTCGTGAGTTTATCAGCATCATCATCAGCCTATTAATGTCCTCACTGCTGAGGCTCAGGCCTTCCCTATGGATGGAATAGGGAGATTGGGCCGTGACCCACCACGCGGGCCCAGTACGGATTGGCGGGTGCTAAGAACTGCAGATGCAGCCGGGACCAACGGCTTAACGTGCCTTCCGAAGCACGGAGGAACTCGAGATAGAAGATTTTGGTCACTCAACGAATGACCGACCACTGCGAAAGTTGCTTAACTTCAACTATCGCAGCCGAACGCGCTAACCACTTGTGTTATCGAGCTCCTCTTGAGGTATAAACCTCAGTTGTTTTTAGAAAGTGAACTATTGATTTGTAAAACATTTAAGAGATGTAGGAAATAGCGGATTTATTAATAAACGAGTCATAAGCTTAGACTAGTTACCCCGTGTTTTGTATACATCACTCAAATGCCATTTGCCATTAAATGAATACAGACAAAACATGGAGCAACTAATCCAAGATTAGTCTTCAAAACTCAAAAAAAATACTCAAACTCATTTATTCAGTCTAGGCTGTTACAAGCTCTTGTGAAAGTCAAACGCTACGCCATCGGTTCGTAAATCTACGGCGCGGCGTCGGGAGACCTTGTACTGAGAAGAACCGGCAAGAATCTCAGCAAGGGCTATTTTTTTCTCCCTGTTCTGTTTCATACAGTGTCGTCAATTGAAAGATGACATCAAAAATTGAAAACATGTGTTGATGTCAACTTCCATCACATTAATCGTTCTTCGTTTATTAATAAGGGTATACGTCTAATCTTAGGACCCCAAAGTAAACTTCACAATAAACTAATATTGTAATCGATCAAGCCGCATACATCAATCGTTCGTGAGTGGGATATTAGGATATGGAAAATAACACCAATTTTGTGAGTTAACAGTTTCTTATAATTATTACGATATGTAAATCGACACGGTATCGATAAGTCATTGACACCAGGCCTGTAAGTACCTACGGCAGGCGCCGTAGAAAGCTGTTTGTATTCAAATTAGGTTGCTTAACGTCACCATTGTCGTTCATCGGTGGTTTATCAATCGATAACTTTATGTAATCCACTTGTGCTACTTTTATACGGTTTTAATACTTAAACGGATCTGTTTGTTATACTTACGTTGGCTATTTCTCATCAATTACCAAATTTCTCACTGACAAAGTAAATCCAGGAATTGAAGGTTAATGCCGATTGGCGTGCTAATAGATGCTATTGCAAAAAGCAGCAAACGTATTTGAATTCCCTTACGGATAATATCCCTGTGTTACCATTTAGTAATATAGGCCTTAAAAATCTATAGACTGCTCTAGGCTGAAACGATCCATTAAAATTTCAGCAGTAAGCTCGTTATTACGTCTAACATTTCGTGTAGGCAAACAAAAGAATCTAAGAAGTAATAGAAATTGTTGGTAATATTCTTTTCATTCTAAAATATTATTTTATGTATCATTTTCATGTACTAGAATTAATAAATATACATACTTATATAATTTTAATACTTTTCTGCATCCTTCTAGTAAATTTAAATTTCACAGTGTATGTAGGTCATCATCGGTGTCATATTTCCGTCAACTTTTGGTAGATCCAGGACTCATATGCAGAAACCCGCGTGTACACGCCTGGATAGTTGATGTCGGCACAGCCCTCTCCGAACGACACGATCCCGATAAGTCGGTTGTCATAGACCAGGGGACCTCCGGAGTCCCCTTGGCAGGCGTCTCGTAATGGGCTGGTGCCAATGGCGCAAATCATCCCCGGGGTAATAGCAGCAATGCGGAGGTATGCCTTCAGACATGACGTTTGGTCGACGATCTTGACTTGAGCTGCCAGTAGCACCGATGACGCAACATCACCGGTCTGTGAAGGACATCCAGATAACGTTTATAATTTGAAGGCTGTTGGAATCTATTGAAAATGATACGACGAATCGAATAATCGGTCCAACTCAAAAAAAAATAGATGTTTGTCAACCTACATGCCTTTTTGCCAGCTTTTTTGACATTTACAGCGTGAAATTGACGGGAAAATTTGCATATTCATCAATGATTTTTGGGACAAGTATCTTCTTGGCGTTAAAATAAAGCAGTAGTGGATCAGTAAATAGCTCAGTGATTATCACTTCCACCTGAAAAAACTGGTAGCTAGCAAGCCTACTGATTAATTTTGACCATAATAAGACTAACATTTGAGGCTCATACTATAGTATAATCTTTGATTGTACAGTGACAGCTCCTGAAGTTACAAGAAAACTTACGGCGATTTGTCCAAACCCTGTAACAAGAGCTTCTGCGTTTGGTGGAATCGACATGCCAACTGGTGCAATGGACACCGATGCGACAGTACGGTCGAAGGCGATGTTCTGGCTAGTTATGGCTAGAGCTATGTCGTGCTCCAATGTCATAGTGCTGTACAACTCATGAATCAAGAAGCGTGATATGGTATAAGATGTTCCGCCGGAGTTGCGCTGCGATGAGCCCACCGCTGCCGCCACTGAAGTTGGCTGGTCAACATAACTGAAACAAATGATGATTCTGTTTGGATTTTTGGACGAAATGAAACTCATGCGTCTAACATAAAACACATAAACCCAAAGGGCGGAAATAATGTAAAAATGCAATCGTCTTATAATATGAAATGTGATCACTTGCAGGCATGTCATACCAGAAATATTGCTCACACGTCCTTTTATGATTGCCGTATCCAAACGTGAGACCGTGTATAATGGTACGGACGGTCTGGTAAATCACTACCACTGTTTCTTCATTGTTCTTTTTCCTCATCCCAGAAATTCTGAAAGCCTTCCTAATGCAGGAGCACAATGCTACATAATAGTGATATATAGCTGTCATCCTTTTTATGGTGCCTGGCACTGGCGAGTTTGTTGATAAAAGTATACTATTTGCAGGGAAAAAGTCTTCCCTTAGCACAGCAGAAAATGTGACAGTTATCTTTTTGTATGTACTCGTTTAACTAACCTAACTCCGCAGTGAGCAGCAGTAAGCACTCCTCTTGCGCTGACGACTACAGCGCCACACATATGCGCCCAGCCCCCGACAGTCCTTCGCCTCAGTGACGCTTGATATGGAACTTGTGAGATGTCAACGGCGTATCCATTTACTATACGAGCTGATGACTCCTCGGTTAGTGGCAATGGTGTCGTTGCAGTGGACAAGCAGAATACACCTGCATATAAAATTTTGTTTATTTTTGTTATCATCATCATCATCATCAACAGTCTATCCTAGTCCACTGCTGGACATAGGCCTCTCCAATTGCACGCCACTCAGATCGATCTTGGGCTTTTAGTTGTACAGAATTAAAATCTATAAGATAAACTGTTTGTACTTTTATGCATAGTTTTGTAAATTTGCAGTTACTTAGTTTTATAAATATAAATAATAAATAGGCCAATAATACGTTTAAGACCCCGGATTAGTATTGAAAAGATCTAGGTTTACCTGTTTCGATAAAGTATAGAAAAATAAAGACTAATGGTGGTAAAGATTAGTTAGAAAATCATGATATAATAGAAATTGGTAGACAACGAAGAATATATAGGTACACTATAAAGTATGATGTAATATTGACATAGGTTAGTTCACCGAAAAGAGCGACACGATAGCCTACAACAGTATCCTATGTATTTTTGCATTAAATATTTATTTTGTAATTTTATTTTAATCTCAGTTTAGAAAAGGAAATGTTGAAAACAGTTAAGCGGTGTAATATCGTCCCATTCCCCCGTTCTTAGGTGACTTCAAGTCACGAAAGTGGCTGGTGCCATAAAGGTATTTGATTTGTAGTGTACCTGCACTCGTACACTGCTGAAAGAATAGCAGTTATTTATAGATTGAAAGATTCAAACAGCTATCGAGATATCATTGGATTTATGAACAATGTATAGTTATGTAGGTACTGTGTAACTAGTTGCATCGAAAGTCATATTTATCGTTTTTGGAAAACTTCACACTTTCCCTTATTTAAACAACAACAAAAGTGTGATATTTTTAGACACCAAGCCAATAACTATAAATTTAAGAGAATGCGTATATTACTTTAATTTAACATTAAAATATAAATACAAGATCTACTTACCTAATGAAATAAAGATTGTGTGGGATAACTTCATTTTGGTGGAACCAAATGGTGACTAAGCATTGACTGCAGATCATGTTCCTATCTCGTTGTGATAACGTTTATCTGTCTGTGATCGTAAGTTATCCAGATCACAACGTTTATCGGAAATGGCTTATGTATCGCGTATGCATTTTGTGCTTCAAAAAACCCACATTAAATTATCTTTACGAATTACCTAAGTATAAAGTTGCTCGCGTATTTCAGTCTACACTTAAGGTTACACGTATATGTTGACGTGATAACGTATTATAAATCGATCGAACACTGGTTGCACTTACGAAAAATTGTGACGTCATGTCACGTTACGTCACGAGTAAGTTCAACGTTCCCCGATGTGTGTGAGGAGAGGTCGAGGGGTTCCTTCGACCAACCCTGACCCCCCCTTTTTGAATTAATGTCTGGAAAATGCTTTGCGCATTCTCCGCCCTCCTAGAGAAGCAATGCGGAGTTATGCGGTACTCCTCCCCACCCATTTCATCTAGCCTGCGGCCAGACGAACTGGTTAGGGCCTACCTAACGGTATAAAACAGACAATAATCCTGCACCAGTTACCCGACACGCAATTTGAGGATCGAAGTCCCCCCATTGCATGCCAGGAGTGCGGGTTAGTACTGTGGGATACGCAACACACCACGACCTCGCCAGTGATTGTCCGTTGCCAAGACCCCCCCGACGTGGTATTCCCCGGAGCATATAGAGCACCACACGTCTCAGGAATCGTGCAATGCAAACGGGCGCCCCCACACCGGCCTGCTGGCTCCCGGAAGTGCGATAGTGGGAGCGTAGTTCTCCCCGTCCCTCTCTCCTCGCCGTCAGCGCAAGGGCTCCCTCTCCTGAGCGCCTGCTTCTCTCGTTCCCTTCTCCTAAGAAATGGGAGGAGAAATGCAGGCGACAGAAGTCGGAAGAGTACCTAAACAGCCAATGCTACTTAGACATGGAGATGCCGGTGCCTGGTCGGGCGCCCTCAGAGGGGGAGCCCTCTGAGGGCGCCCGACCAGGCACCGATAACTCAATGATCCCTTTAACCGGGGTTTTACCCCTAACAGCGGGAGGGTTGCACCTCCCGCTTCTCATCACATGGCCTACCGGCCGGCTACTGTCAGCGCATACTGCGCATCGGCATGGAGCAGCGCACATCGCCGCTTTATGTCCCGTCTTCTTCCCGCATCTGAAGCAGAGTGTGCTTAGCAGCAGCGTGCCCCCTTCCCATGCATCGGAACCGTGTGTGCGCCGGCTAAGGACTCTCACCCTTGCTAGACTCCAGCCCACCTTTAGTCTTCTTCCTTCCGCCACCTTTCTAGCGACCCATGTCTGTCATCCCCCATGCCTCCTGGTCCCGGGTTCATATTCCCCCTACCGTAATGTCGTGAGAGGGGCAGCTCCCCTTCTTGGCTATCGCCTCTCTCCCCTCCTCCAGATTCAGGAACTTATCAAGCTCCGATATTCGCAGATTGTTGCTCTTCTCCGGCCTACTAACGTAACTTTATTACTTCGCCCATGTTCTTGGACAGGGCGTCGGCCTTTTCCCTATTGTCGGGCCTTGACACTAGCAAGAGCTTGGACCCCGCCTGACTGCTCTTGATTACTAGACCCTTCTCTATGCCCACGACGGCAGCTGAAAAACCGTTCACGCCATCTCCACGAGATCGGTGTAGGTGAAGCCTACCTCCTTCGCCCTAGGCCTCAGTTTCAGCTCCACCGACGCGGTGCTCGGCACCTTGATCTTCGGCTCTCTCGGTGCGGGTGGTCTTCCAGCCCCCCTTTTCGGAACCGGGACTCTCTTATTCCGCGTGGGATAAGAGAGTCCCGGTTCCTTTGCAATCGGTGCCCCTCGGCCCCGCATCATAAGCAGGGTTACGAGTTTGACCTGACTGCCGCTACTCGGGATACCCAGGACGCCAGTCAGGTCTCCACTGCTGGTTTTGGTCCACGCCAGCCAATAGCCCATTCGCCACCTGGGAGACCTGCCCGATGGCAGTCCAGCAACGGCACACGGGTCTCCCTGAGCCCTCCCTGAACACTCCAGACCCCCCTCCTTCAAAGAGTACCTCACCACACGTGCTTGGGCTCAAACGAACCGAAACAAAAAGCCCCTCAAAACTGCCCCGAGGAAAACAATGAATGACACGTTATCATGTAAAATTATCGAATTCAAATTCAATATCGTTTATTCAGTCTAGGCTGTTACAATCACGTGTGAATGTCGAAAGGCTACACCATCGGTTCGTAAATCTATGGCGGCAGACATTGTTCTGAAAAGAACCTGTAAGAAACTCAGCAGGGGCTGCTTTTTTCTCCCTGTATTATATACAGAGTCGTCAAATTGAAAAATGACTTCAATATGAGAAAACTCATGAAGGCACTTTCCATTACAAATGTAAATGATATAACAGTTATGACTATAAAATAAAAAAATATAAAAAAAATATTTAAAAAAAGTTTAGGAATGCCGTGTCCTACTGTTTAGGCATAAAAACAAATGTAAGATTAAAATAAAATGCAACGATTAATTGTACCCAATGTAGCAAGAGCAGGCTCTCCTCCGCTGGCAGCATCCGTTTACGAGCATGACGCATGAACCAGCCATCGCTTCGCTCAACCATTTTTTAGGGAACGTAACGACCCGCCCCACACGACACCGCCGCAGAGATTTTTAAGAGAGCATGACTACTCATAACCACATATGGATACTAGGTTACAAAATAGGAAAAAAATATAAGTACCAGTGTAAATTATTATAAAAAACTATAAACACAACTGTAAGACACATGCATGTGATTACCTAAACACTGGTGTCGACTCTGCCACTGCTCTCCAAACCCAAAACCAAACCCAACATCAGTGCCCCCCTTTCACTCTGTATAGGGAATGACAAGGATACACCGCTGCAAAACCAAGCAAAACCAAAAGTGGTATCGTCCTTGAACCGACTTTACAGACAACCAATTTGTTTTTAAACCATAGTTGAAATTGGTCGAACTTTTTTTATGTCTTGGTGTTACAAGTAGAATAGAGTCCGTCATGATTATATTGTATTCGCTCCGCTTGCGGTGGAAAACAGGCACTAACATTGTTTGGGGTTAACTTACTGTCAGGAAGCAAGAGACAACTTGCGAACAATAGTTCATCGAGATGATAGGAAGTGGATCTATGTTAACATAGATAGCATTATTAATTATTATCTGTCCTGTGTTTTAACAAGTTGGTTATCTACTAGGTGAAACAATATTTCACAACATTTTATTGACAATACCAGATGAGAAAATCCGGTAAAAAACAAGAGACGAGTATGATCTCGAAAGATCAGCTGAATCGGTTCAGTGTTTATCATCATAATAATTATTACTAAATTAGTTTCCTGATATGGTTATAAACTAAATTGGACTGAACATGTAGAGTTATAAAGGGAAAGATATGCCTGTGGAAACAAGTAAGGTGATAGAATAGGTAAGGGTTACAGGAAAATTACAATTCGAATCGGTACACGTGCTTTGCAAAGGAAACGCGTGACACACGAAAAATGGCATCGAAGGCATAAACAATGTCCTTATAGTGGATTTCATTCTTACCACTGTGATACAGGCTAGTACAGTGAAATAATACAATACTGTACAGTACACTACGGTACTTTAGCTACAAATTAACGAAATAAATATATTTAGAATCTATTTTCGATTACAATTCCATTACTTTCATTATTAAAATAGGAAACATTAGTGATACACTGTTTGTAAGAGTTTCAGATAATGAGAATATTGGAATACAAATCGTAAGAACTAGCTAGTTTTCAATGCAAATTATTTATTTGAGATGCCATGTAAATGTACTAAAGAAGTGTTAAACAAATCAACACAAACCAAAACAATCCTATCCTGATATTTTACAGAGTAATACGTTTTTTCTCATTGAGTTAAACTTCATAAAGTGATATCTAGGAATATATAAAAATATAATTAATTCACGCCTTGTTATAGAAGTTTATCTAAGAACCCAATTTTAAAGAATCCCTATTAAAAAAATCGAATAGACATTGATTTCATCACAGGATTTCATCAATGATAGAGAAGTTATCCTGGCAAGGTTGAGTTCAACCTTCTGCATAATTATGATTTACTCAAGGAATTCGTAAAAGCTATAACATGTTAATAGCCAATTTATGAGGTAACAGTAATGTTTGATTTTATTGGCAATCACTATTGATACCGTACTGTGAATTTATGACTTAATAAGTTCATCGGCTCATCAAAAGGTTCATAGATATAATATTATGCAGACACTAAATATCGTGTAAAATGCAAAGAAATATTTGCTTAGTCAGTTACAGGATTATCATTATCTGTTTAACTTCAGTGCTTTCTATTCACAACACTGACATGACTGATTTGGATGCGACGAAAAGTCATGGCCGTTTTTTGATTTTTTTTGATTGGAGGGCACAGATATGGTGGGAGTACTTCACAAGATGCAAGGTTGCCCTCCTTATGTAAAACTGCCGCGCTCGAGTAAATCCACAATTCCCGGTTTGGGCTCCCCTACTAAACAAATGATACTATCCTAAGATTTTTACCTAAATCGCCATTCACAACTTGCATAATTTCCACTGAAATATTACAGAAATAGCTGTTGTATGAGCAATTGTTTTCTCCGGTCATCAATTGAATGAATTAACCTTAAAATGGGCGTAATAAGCTTATTGGGCAAGATAAGATAGCGTTCATTAAATCAATAGAAAGCGCGGGCGCTGGGAGCGTCACCCACGCACATTCCTTTAGGAGCCAAAGACCCTACGCTTCCTGGATCGAATAGACCTACTTCTCGAACCATTTAGATTTCTGAAAACCATTAAATGTATGACAAGGTTCAAGCTACGATCGTAATAGACCGTCGTAAAACACCTCTGTTAGAGTAGACTGCTGGATGGTTGTTTTTTCGGTTAGTTAGTCAAAACTGAATTTTTGCCAAACTTTATAACTTAAATAATAGGACAAGTACAGCTACTTCACAAAGGAGATTTTATCAGCACATTAAAAATATATATCGAACATTGGATACTTTGCTTGCCCAACTTGCACTAAATACATTCTAATGCGGCACCGATGTGGTAACAGCCACGACTGTGGGA